CACTGGTTTATTTATCAAGTGTACATCAACAGAACTCTCAAACTGTATTGTGTTAAATAGTAACCAGTGCCACCCAGACTAGGTTTAACAAATCTAACAATTTTTTCAAATTTCCGACAGGCTTTAAAGTCTACTTATCCATCATCCAAGTCATGTTCACCCTCAGGAGAATCTGCAGGAAGGCAGCGTTTTTACGAAGCCTCTGCACTGTAACATCCCGTGATGCTGTTGTAGCTGAGCGATTAGAGCAACGGGCTCTTCTGCGAGTGGCAGGCAAAGACGCCTATGGTTTTCTTCAAGGTCTTATGACAAATGACATAACTCATGTGGAGTCTGGTATTTCTTCTATGTACACCATGTTCCTTAACACACGAGGGAGAGTTCTATATGATGCAATCATTTATCAGACTTCTGAACATGGAGTTTTATTCATTGAATGTGATAGTTCAGCAATTGAGCAATTGTCAAAGCATTTGAAAATCTATCGTTTACGAAAGAAAGTTGACATTGATGTCGAAAATGAACATAAGGCATGGGTTGTTTATGATCCATCATTAACTGAAAATTCCAGTTGCACTTTAGTTGAAGATGTGAAAGACAAACTTGTTGGGAGAGTGTTGCCATGTGATGAGCTCGAGCTTGGTAAAAAAGAGAGGAAGGAAGGCTTCAGTATAAATTCCATCAGCTCCAAAAACAATGTTCTAATATATAGGGATCCCAGACTATATGAGTTAGGTTTACGAGTTCTTTGCCCTAGTTCTGAAGATATTACTGAATTACTTAATGTTCCAAGAGGTTCTTCCTATCAATCCTTGAGGTATCGATTGGGTGTCGGAGAAGGAGTGAAAGACATTGTGCCTGACGAAAGTTTTCCTTTAGAATCTAACTGTGATTATTTACATGGAGTAAGTTTTCACAAAGGATGCTATATTGGACAAGAGCTTACTGCCAGAGTTTATCATACTGGAGTTGTGAGAAAAAGAATTATGCCCCTATTTTTTGAAAGTCCTTTAAATGTTGGAAATTCCACCCAGCGAGAAATTGTTAATGAGAAAGGCAAGGCTGTAGGAAAATTACGTAGCTTTGAGAATCTGAACGGTATTGGGCTTCTACGAATATCAGAGGTTGTAGCATCAAAAGTGTTGACTTTCTGTAGTGCAAATGTAAAGACCTTAAGACCTCATTGGTGGCCAAAACAAGCCCCCAAAGAGCTGGAATCGAAAGAAAAGCTATAATTTTTTGTGTCTAGCGTGTTGTTTTTAGTACACTTCTTTAGTCAGAAGTTTTGATTGATCTAAACTGTTGACGTTGACCTTAATTAAATTAAATTCAAGAGTAATCTGTGCAGGGTTGAGTTAAACTAGGTACATGATTGTAAATTTGGCTGTATTGTAACTAATAATCAAATTGATTCAGATGACTTCTCAAATTTTGATTCTTGTTAAGAATATCCTTTATTTCAAATTGGACAGAGCTGGATCAACTGTTCTACCTCGTAGATTCTCTGTTACTCTTGTTTCTTCCAATGTTTAAAATGTCAGATTTTGACTAAATGAATGTTAATGCACTAAAGGGAAAACTATTCAGAACAATTGTCATGAAATTTCTGCTGTTTATGTGGGAAGAGGAAAAGGTAATTTTGAATAAATTTTACATAAGGAATAAAACCTACTGCATATTTTTTATGTTTCTACAATAAGTCTTACAAAGACGAATCTCACAGCTCGTAATGAGCACTACCCTTT